GGGACGGGATGGGGGGAACAGGAGATGGATGTGGGTAAACCATGGCATTGGGCCACAGAGCATGGATGTGGGTAAACCATGGCATTGGGTCACAGAGCATGGATGTGGGTAAACCATGGCATTGGGTCACAGAGCATGGATGTGGGTAAACCATGGCATTGGGCCACAGAGCATGGATGTGGGTAAACCATGGCATTGGGCCACAGAGCATGGATGTGGGTAAACCATGGCATTGGGCCACAGAGCATGGATGTGGGTAAACCATGGCATTGGGCCACAGAGCATGGATGTGGGTAAACCATGGCATTGGGCCACAGAGCATGGATGTGGGTAAACCATGGCATTGGGCCACAGAGCATGGATGTGGGTAAACCATGGCATTGGGTCACAGAGCATGGATGTGGGTAAACCATGGCATTGGGCCACAGAGCATGGATGTGGGTAAACCATGGCATTGGGCCACAGAGCATGGATGTGGGTAAACCATGGCATTGGGCCACAGAGCATGGATGTGGGTAAACCATGGCATTGGGTCACAGAGCATGGATGTGGGAGCGGCGAACGAGGGCGATGTTGGGGAGACACAGAAACCAAGGAAGGAGTGGGTGCAGTGCAGTGCAGTGCAGTGCAGTGCGGCAGAGAGTGTGGCGGGTGTGGTGAAAGAACGAGGGGCGGCGGCGGCGCAACGTGGCAGGGAGGGACAACTTGCAAGGTGGGGTTGCGCAGTGCCTGGCAGAGCGGAGCGCAGTAAGGTGGGGTTGCAACTTGCAAGGGGGTGCTAGCCCCCCTTCTCCTCCAGCAAGTGCAAGGGGGGGTAAAGAAAGGTGCTCACCAGGCGATGGCGATCCAACTGCTCGAGTGGGCCCCAATCAGGTGCCATGACTTTATGTGGCAGCAACTAAAATGTGAAGGTAAAATATCAAGAGAGGTGCTCTTCTCACCACGTGATGACGATCCAACTGCGCGGATGCAGCTGGCAGTTCAAGTGGGCCCCGCCCCAATAAGATGCCATGACTTTACGTGGGTGGCAGCAACTAGATGTTTGGATGAGATATTAGGAAAGGTGCTCTGCTCACCACGCGATGGCGATCCAGCTGCGCGGATGCAGCTGCAAGCTCGAGGTGCGTCTCAGCACCGCACACTCCCTCTCCAGCTCTGCCACCTGCCATGAGTGGGGGGGGGGAAATGCACAAGGATTAGGGCACACAGTGAGCAGCGGCATGGAATCGAGTGGTGGTGCGTCTCAGCACCGCACACTCCCTCTCCAGCTCCGCCACCTGCCATGAGTGGGGCATGTGTGAGGGTGGGGGGAATACACAAGGAAGGAGGGCAGCTAGTGAGCAGCGGCATGGTTGGGTCGTCTCAGCACTGCACACTCCCGCTCCAACTCCGCTACCTGCCCCGCCCCCCTGGGACATGGCATGGCATGGCATAGAATGGCGTGGAATGGCATGGCATGGCATGGCATGGCATGGCGTGGCATGGCGTGGCATGGCATGGCATGGCGTGGCGTGGCATGGCATGGCATGGAATGGCATGGCATGGCATGGCATGGCGCGGCATGGCATGGCATGGCATGGCATGGCATGGCATGGCATGGCATGGCAAGGCATGGCATGGCATGGCAAGGCATGGCATGGCATGGCATGGCATGGCATGGCATGGCATGGCATGGCATGGCAAGGCATGGCATGGCATGGCATGGCAAGGCATGGCATGGCATGGCATGGCATGGCATGGCATGGCATGGCATGGCATGGCAAGGCATGGCATGGCATGGCAAGGCATGGCATGGCATGGCATGGCATGGCATGGCATGGCATGGCATGGCATGGCATGGCAAGGCATGGCATGGCATGGCATGGCATGGCATGGCATGGCATGGCATGGCATGGCATGGCATGGCATGGCATGGCAAGGCATGGCATGGCATGGCAAGGCATGGCATGGCATGGCATGGCATGGCATGGCATGGCAAGGCATGGCATGGCATGGCATGGCATGGCATGGCATGGCATGGCATGGCATGGCATGGCATGGCAAGGCATGGCATGGCATGGCAAGGCATGGCATGGCATGGCATGGCATGGCATGGCATGGCATGGCATGGCATGGCATGGCATGGCATGGCAAGGCATGGCATGGCATGGCATGGCATGGCATGGCATGGCATGGCATGGCATGGCATGGCATGGCATGGCATGGCATGGCATGGCATGGCATGGCATGGCATGGCATAGCATGGCATGGCATGGCATGGCATGGCATGGCGTGGCGTGGCATGGCGTGGCATGGCATGGCATGGCGTGGCGTGGCGTGGCGTGGCATGGCATGGAATGGCATGGCATGGCATGGCATGGCGCGGCATGGCATGGCATGGCATGGCATGGCATGGCAAGGCATGGCATGGCATGGCAAGGCATGGCATGGCATGGCATGGCATGGCATGGCAAGGCATGGCATGGCATGGCATGGCATGGCATGGCATGGCATGGCAAGGCATGGCATGGCATGGCAAGGCATGGCATGGCATGGCATGGCATGGCATGGCATGGCATGGCATGGCATGGCATGGCAAGGCATGGCATGGCATGGCATGGCATGGCATGGCATGGCATGGCATGGCATGGCATGGCATGGCATGGCATGGCATGGCATGGCATGGCATGGCATGGCAAGGCATGGCATGGCATGGCAAGGCATGGCATGGCATGGCATGGCATGGCATGGCGTGGCATGGCGTGGCATGGCATGGCATGGCGTGGCGTGGCATGGCATGGCATGGAATGGCATGGCATGGCATGGCATGGCGCGGCATGGCATGGCATGGCATGGCATGGCATGGCATGGCATGGCATGGCAAGGCATGGCATGGCATGGCAAGGCATGGCATGGCATGGCATGGCATGGCATGGCATGGCATGGCATGGCATGGCATGGCATGGCATGGCATGGCAAGGCATGGCATGGCATGGCATGGCAAGGCATGGCATGGCATGGCATGGCATGGCATGGCAAGGCATGGCATGGCATGGCATGGCATGGCATGGCATGGCATGGCATGGCAAGGCATGGCATGGCATGGCATGGCATGGCATGGCATGGCATGGCATGGCATGGCATGGCATGGCATGGCAAGGCATGGCATGGCATGGCAAGGCATGGCATGGCATGGCATGGCATGGCATGGCATGGCATGGCATGGCATGGCATGGCATGGCATGGCATGGCATGGCAAGGCAAGGCATGACATGGCAAGGCAAGGCATGGCATGGCATGGCATGGCATGGCATGGCATGGCATGGCATGGCATGGCATGGCATGGCAAGGCATGGCATGGCATGGCATGGCATGGCATGGCATGGCATGGCATGGCATGGCATGGCATGGCATGGCATAGCATGGCATGGCATGGCATGGCATGGCATGGCATGGCGTGGCATGGCGCGGCATGGCATAGAATGGCATGGCATGGCATGGCATGGCGCGGCATGGCATGGCATGGCATGGCATGGCATGGCATGGCATGGCAAGGCATGGCATGGCATGGCAAGGCATGGCATGGCATGGCATGGCATGGCATGGCAAGGCAAGGCAAGGCATGGCATGGCATGGCATGGCATGGCATGGCAAGGCATGGCATGGCATGGCAAGGCATGGCATGGCATGGCATGGCATGGCATGGCATGGCATGGCATGGCATGGCATGGCATGGCAAGGCATGGCATGGCATGGCATGGCATGGCATGGCATGGCATGGCATGGCATGGCATGGCATGGCATGGCATGGCATGGCATGGCATGGCAAGGCATGGCATGGCATGGCAAGGCATGGCATGGCATGGCATGGCATGGCATGGCATGGCGTGGCATGGCGTGGCATGGCATGGCATGGCGTGGCGTGGCATGGCGCGGCATGGCGCAGAATGGCATGGCATGGCGCGGCATGGCGCGGCATGGCATGGCATGGCATGGCATGGCATGGCAAGGCATGGCATGGCATGGCAAGGCATGGCATGGCATGGCATGGCATGGCATGGCAAGGCATGGCATGGCATGGCATGGCATGGCATGGCATGGCATGGCAAGGCATGGCATGGCATGGCATGGCAAGGCATGGCATGGCATGGCATGGCATGGCATGGCATGGCATGGCATGGCATGGCAAGGCATGGCATGGCATGGCATGGCATGGCATGGCATGGCATGGCATGGCATGGCATGGCATGGCATGGCATGGCATGGCATGGCATGGCATGGCATGGCATGGCATGGCAAGGCATGGCATGGCATGGCAAGGCATGGCATGGCATGGCATGGCATGGCATGGCATGGCATGGCATGGCATGGCATGGCATGGCATGGCATGGCATGGCATGGCATGGCATGGCATGGCATGGCATGGCATGGCATGGCATGGCATGGCATGGCATGGCAAGGCATGGCATGGCATGGCAAGGCAAGGCAAGGCATGGCATGGCATGGCATGGCATGGCATGGCATGGCATGGCATGGCAAGGCATGGCATGGCATGGCATGGCAAGGCATGGCATGGCATGGCATGGCATGGCATGGCATGGCAAGGCAAGGCAAGGCATGGCATGGCATGGCATGGCATGGCATGGCATGGCAAGGCATGGCATGGCATGGCATGGCATGTGTGGCGGGGGGATACACAACAAGGAAGGAGGGCATACAGCGAGCAGCAGCACGGAATGTGAAGGTTTGGGTCGTCTCAATCTCAAACGAGCACTCCCCGCTCCAACCCTGCTGCCCGCCGCAGAGGGGCATGCGAGACAAGACAGGGAGGGAGCGGCATACACACGCACGGTAGCCACCCTGTGAGCAGCGCCGCATCGTCAGCGCAAAGTGAGGCAGGCCAAGGTGAGACAGCCAAGGTGAGGCATGCACAGTAAACGCCTTGGCTGCAGAAGCAATTCTTCAGGGCACAACCAACCAGCAAGGCAAACGACGGCAAGTAGTGTGTAGCAGTGCATGCGTTAGGCAGGTACCTTGGTGTAGAGTGGCGGGCGGCAGTGTGGTGGTGCGCGCTCAAAGAACTCCAGCAGCGGCCGCCCGCCACTGCAATCCCTGCACCACGCCTCCATGCCCTCCTCCACACCCTCCGTGCCTTGCTCGCCCTCCTTGCACCACGCCTCCTCCTCGCCCTCCTCGCCCTCATCGCACCGCCCGTTGCCACCCCCCTCCACATACGCCTCCCAGGGGGACGGCGGGGAGTGGGGGGAGTGGGGGGAGTGGGGGGAGTGGGGGGAGTGGGGGGAGCGCAGGGAGTGCGGGGGGGAGTGCGGGGAGTGCGAGGAGTGCGGGGAGTGGGGGGAATGGGGGGACGACGCCAGGCTGGGCTGTTCCAGCGGGCTGCGCGCGTGCAGGCGCGGGGCGGGGGGGGGCGCGGGCGTGGGGAGGCCCGCGGGGGGGCCCGCGGGGAGGCTTGCGGGGAGACCCGCGGGGGCCCCGCGGGGAGGCGGGAGAAGAGCTGGAGGCCGGAGATGGAGGGCGCGTAGTGCTGCGTGGCGGGCGCGCCTGAGGGGGGGAGGTGCAGCGGCACGGCGGCGCTGTACGCGCTGCACTCCTCCAGCGCGTCCCCAGGTCGTTCAGGGTGAAGAACGGCGCGCCCTTGCTGTGCTCGTTGCACCAGTCCTGTGGCGGGGAGGGGAGGGGGTGGAAGGGGAGGGGGAGGCGCTGAGACGCGCTGCACTCCTCCAGCGCGTCCCACAGGTCGCTCAGCGCGAAGAACGCCGCGGGAGGCGCGCCGGGGGGCTGCTTGGCGCGCGCGCCGTTGCTGTGCTCGTCGCACCAGTCCTGCGGGGAGAGGGGGGGGGAAAGGGGGAGGAAGGGGGAGGGCGGCGGAGGAGGGAGGCGCGCGGAGTGCAGAGGCGGGGAGATGAGCGGGGGACAGAGGAAAGGTATTATATGGGGAAGGGAGCAGGGGAGAGTTCCCTGGGGAAAGAAAGAAAGAGCGCGGTACCTGCGGGAGAGAACGTGGGGGGGCGGGGGCGGGGGGGGCGGGGGGGGGGGGGGGGGGGGGGTGGTACCTGGGGGAGGAAGCGCAGTTTGACGTGCGGGGTGACGTGCGCGAGGAAGCTCTCCAGATTGCCCGCCGCGGGCCTTGCGGCGGCCTCCGCTCCGCCTGCGCGCGCCGCCGCAGCAGCGGCGCGCTCGCCGCCCGTGACGGGCACGGCGGCGGACGAGCCGTGCGCGGGGTGCGGCCTCTGCGCCTCGTGGTACACTCTTACGTGTTGCCGCGACATGGCATGTGGACTTGGCTCGTGTTGGCGTGACATGGCGTGGTGGCGGGTGGTCTTGGCGTGTGCCCGCGCAGGTCGGTGGTGGGGGTGGGGGTGGGGGTGGGGGTGCATAAGCTCATGCGGCCATGCCATGCAGTGGCGGCGGCTGATGCGTGCGCGACAGGAGATGCGCTGTGTGGGAGCGTTACGGAGAGCACACGCGGAAGCTAGGTTGGCGAAGGGGTACGAGCGGGGGAGGGGGGGAAACGCGGCGAAGCAGACGAGTAATGGTGAACTTGCGTGCTCTCAGCAGCAGCGTACTGGACGCACCAGAAGAAGACTAAGGGGACGGTAAGTAACGAAATGGCTAGGGTAGCGCCTATGGCAACGGAAAGGGGAAAGAGAATGCTATAATGTAATGATTCGCGTTTAGGTTAGGTCAAAAGAAGGATCGAATTCACATTAACCAGCGAACGATTGGCGGCAATCTGTAACCCACATAACGAAGAAGGCTGACGGCAAGAGCATTAGCTATTAGCATCTCGCCATAACGCGGGCTCAACGCTACAACATTTGGGTCCTAGTTGTCTGTGGTCTGGTCTGGTCTGGTTCTGGTTGACAAGAGCTGGGTGGAGAGCCAGGGAAGCGGATGTGGTGGGTGGGGTACAGGGAAGTTGAGAATTGTACCGTAGTTGGTGGGGTGAATGGCAGTCCGACGGGGTGGTTTGAAGGTGGAGGCCGTGTTCCGTTGGCGCACAACCAATCTCCACTGTTGCTGAAGGTTCGAACTTTCGAAGGTTGGAAGGGTTGACGGGGTGGAAAACCGTCCGGCCCGGCCTGTCGGCCTGTTCGTCAGAGCCTCGTTCTTTTGGCGGACAAGCTCTGCGGGTTTTCCTTTCGTTCTTTTCGTTTCTCCGCAAAGGGGTACTTTTGTAGACAGTGTTACCCTGTTTCCAAGTGGTAAACCTTTGCCTCCCGCTTGAGGTATGTAGACCGCAGCTTTAAGGGGAAAACGGCAGTGGATTGGCGAAGAAGAGTTTCAAAATGACGAAGCAACTTCGCAAACACTTCATTTTTTCATCATTTGTTTTTCCACCTTGCCATCGAACAGCAATTTCACGCAGGTTCGGAAACAGCTTACATATCTTGGAATCTTCCACCTCCCGTGACTTACCAGTTGTGCGCCAACCGAACACATCCCGGGACACATCTCGTGGAACCGAACTACTAGTGTGGCCTCTGGTGCTTGCACTCATAACAAGTGCGACCACCACCGCTTGAGAAATTAAGTAGCCGGACGAGTAAGTGGTCGCGATGGGAGGGCACGGCGGGTTGAACATCCTTCTACAGAAGCGGTGGAACGTGTATAACTACGAGAACCGGGAGGCGGTACTTTCTGAACAGGCCTCTTGTCATAACTAGTACGAGGGAAAGTAGAAGCAGTCTGGAACTTCGGTGTCGCCTACAACGCGTACAGTGCTTGCAGTCTGCCCTAACACTTGCGGCCACCCCTGATTGACAAACGGGACAGTAGCTGCAGTGAGTTCTCGCGATGGGGGGCCACGGCGGGTTGAACATTCTTCCGCAGAAGCGGTGGAACGTGTATAACTACGAGAACCGGGAGAAGGTTCGCAAGGATGAGGCTGAGCAGGCTGCGCGCGAGCAGGCGCTGGCGGAAGAGCAGCGCCGCCGCGACAGCGAGTTGCGCCTCCAAACGCTCCGCGCGCGCTCGCGGCAGCAGCACCTTCCGCCTCCGCAGCAGCAGGCGGCGGAGGAGCGTCTGCTTCCCCCGCTGGACCAAGCGGCGCAACCTTCGGCGGAAGGCGCCGCGGTCGTCGCGGACTCGTCCCGATTGTCCGAATCACTCGATGTAAGCACACGCGACTCTGTTTCGCAAGCGGGCGCGCTTAAATCGGGTCACATAAACCTCTTCGAAGGCTTAGACTCCGCCGATTTCTCCGCGTTAGCGTGCGGGGCAGGCGCGCAGGCGAGCGACGCGGTGAGGCTCGGTCGCGCGCAGGAGGTGTGGGAGAAAGAGCACAAGGCGGGGGAGGAGGAGAAGCATAGATTAGGGTACGGAGCGGTGGGGAAGGGTGGGCAGCAGCCGTGGTATGCGCGAGCGGGGGACTTGACAGTGGGGGAGGGGGAAGGTGGGGCGGGGAAGATTAAAGGGGATGCAGGAAGCAGGGGAGTGGGGAAGAGAAGACATGTTGAATCAGCAGAGGCGAAAACGGACTCGCAAAGAGTAGCTTTTCAGGCGCCCCAAAAGTCGGACTCAGAAAGAGTGAAGAGGGTTGGACCTGGAGAAGGTATGCTCATCTTGCCTAGTAAACACCCAGTAACTTCAGCTTCACTTTACGATTTTGTAAATAGGTTGTTACTTCTCCTCTTTTTCGCGATTTTCTTCAGACCTTTTTTGGCTGTTCTGATTCTGCCTCGCCGTTTCTCTTCCCTGGATTTGCGTCTCATTCGCCCAGCAGAAATTCACCCTGCAAAAAACGAAGATAGAGACGACACTGGTGATGGTGACGATGAGGACATTTCTAGTCCGAGGCACAAGAAGAAGCGGAAGCACAGAAGGCGACGGTCTGCTTCGCCAGACTCTTCTTCACGTGCAAGCGGCGACGATGATTCTAACCACCGCCGTTGTCGCCACCGCCGTTCAAGGAAACACCGTGAGAAGGAGCGCGTCAAAGCGAAAATTTCCTCTGCTGATCGGTCTTTCTCTAAGAGTCCTTCGTCGTCCTCCTCGGACAGAGACAGCGATCGTGGAGTGAGAAAGAAGAAGCAGCGGAGCAGGCGGCGGTCTGACTCCTCTTCCTCCTCATCACTGGCAAGCAGCGACGATGATGATAACCGCCACCACCACCTCCACCGCCGCCGCCGTTCAAGAAAGAAGCAGGGGAGCCGGCGGCGGTCTGATTCGCCAGACTCCTCTTCCTCCTCATCACTTGCTAGTAGCGACGATGATGATAACCGGCACCGCCACCGCCGTTCCAGCAAGCATCTTAAGAAGCAGGAGCATGTCGTGGGGGAGAGGCAGGGGAGGGAGACACGCAGGGGAAAAGGAAGGGGGAGGAAGGCCAGAAGCGAAAAAGGGACAGAGAGAAGGAAGGGGAAGGAGGGCGGGGGAGTTACGGAAGAAGGGATGAGGTCTGAACTGAAGGGTGCTGCTGCGGAGCAGGGGAAAAAGAGCATAGAGGCTTTGAGAGCGGAGAGGGTGGCAAGGGAGGCAAGGGAGAGGGAACGAGCACAGATGCTGTTGCTGCAGCACCACCAGACCTCAGGAGGGAGAGGATTGGGAGGGGTTTCGGGTTCTGCAGCAGCAGGGGCAGGGAATACGTCTGGGGTGAGGGAGTTGGGAGGTGGGGTTGAAGGAAACGTGTTGTTCGGGGGTATTGTGATGCATGGGCCTGAAGCGGGACAGCGAAGAAAGGAAGCACGATACAATTCTGGCTTTGGGTATGGTCGTTGAACTGTGATGTATTGATTAAATGGTTTTGGGAGAGGCCAGCTAAGGAGCAATAACTACCGTAGAGTACCTTTCGAAAGTAAAACAAAATTATTTGGCACTTGAAGATTGCTGGTGCAATTGGCGTAGATTTTTGGAGAAAGATAATCAAATCAGTTTGCTGATGTGAATGATTTTGGAAGTGTTTCAGCTGCCACATCTAAACGTACGAGTCGACACGTAGCATGCTGATTGCTAGGGGATCTTACGGTGTGTTGCAATTCGCGGTGCACTGCATCGGCTCGGCTCGTGGCACGGGTTTTGGGAGGCCCCGGAACGCAAAAAGCCGTCAAATTCTCACAAAAACATCGCGCAACAAAAATATGTCCTAGTATAACCTTAACAAATAACTCTTCGAATCGCTATCTTGAAACTTTTCTTTCTCTAATTACTGCCCTTGTTTGACCTTCCGCCTGCCTGGAACCTTCTAAACGTGCCGAACCGACGCAGTACACCGGCAATTGCAACACGCCGTTAGTTTGCGGACATCACGCAGAAAGCCCCTGCACAGGTTTGATTGGACATGTGGATACCTTGTACTACCCTTGAAACCGTAGTTTACCGTTTGTAAACACAAGAAACTGTACTGCAACATACCAAACCTTTTGGTTCGGCTTTGTTGGCGTGAGGGGGGTCTCTTTCAGGAGACCCGGGCCAAGCACCGAGCTGCACAAGCTGCCGCTCTGTTCCGTTCTGTCAATGGCGCTTCGTTTACGTCAGGGCCAGCCGGAGTCCGTCAGTGGGTTGGAGCCGAACAGCCACCCTTCTGCTGAAACCACATCCCCTCGCCCCTGACTGGTCGCAGATGTCCAGCGATGAGAAGTCGAGGCTCTATGACGGGCACGCGATATCCCCGTCACGAGTTGTCTCCCAAATTATCTGTCAGAAAGCCGTCATCTTCCATCAGCTACAGTTCAAACTGGCTGCAACAGCAACTCGTACACTGTACAACCGCACCACACCACACCAGCAGCAGGAGGCAGCAGACCCCGTTCGCCTCCCTCAGCCTTCGCGCGACCTCCCAACCACCAAAGCAGCCCTGAATCTAAGGTTTCGGCTCGGTATACCTAAGCGAAAGACCAAAACGAGGCAGGCCGGGCCACCAAACAGGCCTGGGTGTGCCTCGAGCAGTTTTGCGCCGTCACCCATGAATATCGGTTTGGTAAGGCCAAACCGAACCTAACAGGCTTGTGTTGCATTGCCTTGCATGCCATGCGGCCAGCCCCCTGCTCCCCCATATCTCCCCTCATTTGCCTCCACCCATATCTCCCCGTTGCCAGTTCCCTTTCCTGCTTCCCTCGCTCAATCTCCTACCTCCCCGCTCTCTCATCCAACCCCCGCTACTCCTATTTGAGGCTATTTCGTGTCTTCGTTTCAGTAGCTCAGTTTCATAGTTCCCACAGTTCTCTTCTCTGCTCGATAGGCTAGGTTGATAGCACACAGTAATCGCAGTTACGCTGAACTATCGTCCTTGTCGGATCAGTGTCTTTTTAACTCGATCTAGCGAGACTCGTTGCTCGTCTGAACGACAAACTCGAGCAGAGATTAAATCTCTTTCTATCAACATGGCTCCTGCAGTCGCCGGCGGTGCCAGGGCGAAGAGACGGCAGGCCGCAGGAGCCGCACCGGTAGTAGCTTCAGAAGCAACGACGACGACGGGAGTGACGGTTTCGACAGCACCGATGCCGTTGTCGCAATTGTCTGACAACGTCGCGATTGACATGCGCGACGGCCACACGGTACGTTGTGCAGCCTTAAGCTTCCCAGGCGTATGTTGCCGTCGTTTATTAGATGCACCTGTGCTTCCTCGCTATCGATGTTGGGCTGGTATACGTTGCGGCTGCCCTATTTTACTGTTTTTTTTTGCTTAGGCCGCTCCTTTCCAACGACCATCCTACGGTTCGTTGTTTTTTCTGCCTGAGGGGTTCTTACCTCCCTTCGTTTCACGTGTTCCTCCTGGAACCTTTTCAGATCTGCTGTAACCGTCGATTGCACAGCCTAACGTATTTCGTTTTTTTTTTTTTTTTTTTTTTTTTTGCTTCGCTGCAGACACAGCAGCCGTCGCTAGTATCGGTGGATCTGAGCAAACTGCACACGTCAGCGCTGAAGAGATACCGCCGGCACTTCAAACTGGTAGGATCTCAATGAGAAGCCTTCATGAATGACGAGACGGTTTGAAATGACGTAGAAGAGAAGCGAGGTCGTGGTTTCTTTCCGTGTGATTCAAGACACCACGTACACTGTGTGGTTCCGTATAGAATTGGGAGAACCCTCCTCGCTGCGTGCTGCGCTGTCTACGCGTTTTGTCCAGGGTTCGAGTCGTTTACGCTCCCTTTGGGTTTGCCATCTGTCCAAGCCGTTCACGCGTTCGTCGTGTCGCTGGCTGTTACGGGTTATCTCGCCGTCATGCTCGCCGTCAGTGTGCTTGCTCTCTTTCGCATCGTCGTCGTCTCATGGCACTCGCTTTTATCTGAACCGCTGCCTCTGTGTTACTGCAGGCGGAAGTTGGGCCCAACTCGTCTAAAGAGCAGCTCCTGTCGGCCGTCGGGCGGCACTTCATGTCGCAGGTGAGCAGTGAGCGCTGTACCGTGCGTGGTTGGTGGGGGTGGTAGATTGGTTCGGCAATCGCCTGTAGGATTGGAAATGGTCGATAGGGTTGACACTGCTTGACAGGTTCGGCAACTGTTTTTTCAGGCGTGGACTGTTTTTATTGTGAGCTACGGATGGGTAGCGGGTAACTTGCATCAAAGCATGGGTGTACGGACTCGCGATGCCCATGCACACTCATTCCCTCTTTGCATGACAACCCTTTTCCTATTGTTTATCGAAACGCATCATGGCCGTTGACGCTCACGATTGTCTCTCTGTGGTTTGCCCTCCGTACCTTTCGTCCTCATGTTCCTCTGCCAGCAATTGGACGAGCTTCAGGTTCTCGCAGGCTTCTTGCAGGCAGCCAAGCGGCTGAAAGTGGCGCACTGATTGCCCCGTGCGCTGGCGTGTGGGAGTGACGGCCTCGCCGGTGGCAGGGGAGGCCAGGCTTGCTTGCGCAGCACTTGTCGCAAATAAGCAGTTAGGGTTTCAATCTCACCATGGACAATGGGTTGATGGAGCTGAGCAAGTGGCAGTAGGCCCGAATCATTTGTTTGAGGAGAGGAGCTTAGGGGTTGCTAGGAAAGACAGGCAATTTTGCAGACAGCACAGGACATCAGCAAAGGCTGATGGCCTGTTGCTCCCAGGTGTACACTTGAGCCATGCATGTCTATGCAGGTGCATGTGTGTCCTGGGGTATACACCCAACACACGAGTATGCACAATCAGGATACTTGTGTATGTGTCCTGTGATATTCTCTCTGCTGAGAGACTTGGTGTATGCTCAAAGGTCTCTCAGGCATCCTCTTGATGCTTTTGTTGGACGAAGTGCTGTTGCTGAATTTGTGTGTTTTACCGTATGGAATATGAAGATCAGTAGATTTTTTTTTTTTTTTTATGAAGCTACTGGTACACTATGCTGTGAGTCAAACGCCAAGTCCTTTTTTTGATGCTTTATCTTCATTTGTCAAATGGGGCCTACACCCATCACCTTAGGTAAACAAACACCATATGAATAAATATAAACCTAGCATGATGTATCACTACACGAAACAGACACAATCACATGCTCTCACATGCCCTTCCTTTTCCCCTACACTACATGCCCCATAGTTGCCATCATAGTCCATACACCACATGCCCTGCATTTGCCGTGAACCATATGCCATGAAGCACACGTGTTGGTACCAACAACAACCATCACATCAAGCCTCAATCACAATCCACGGCCGCTCAAGCCCGCGCACCGTCTTCCCCTTGTACCCACACCCCCGCAAACTCAGCCGTCTCACCTGCTTCCCGTCCACAACGTGCCTCAGCCACGCTGCGGGCATGTTGTTGAAGCTCAGGTCCAGCTGTTTGAGTTTTGGCACGAAGCTGAGGTATCGCACGAATGACGCGCCCACGTTGCAGCACTGCTGCAAAGACAAGCGCTCCAAGAACTAGAGAGTTTGCAGTTTAATGATGTCTTCTTTGGTGACTGCCGTTCCCGACAGGTCAAGAGACACCAGCTTCGGCATGGAGTCACGACACTACCGGGGAGATCCCAGCTAAATAGAACCTTGGTCTCGGTTGGGAACGTGCATCCAGCGAGGCTGAGGTGGGTCAACTGAGTCACGCGGGTCAACCATTTCAAAGCGTCATGGTCAAGGAAGGAACCGGTGATGTGGAGAGTGGTGAGAAGGCACAACTTATCGAGTGACATGCAGGCGTGCTTGTAGCGCGGTGGTGCATGCAACTCCAAATGCTCCAAACGCTGCAGCCAGTCTGTCGAATTCCACATCCCACCTTCGACATCACCATTGTCATCTTCACTCAAAAATCCCTTCAAGTCCCTCAAGCGTGCGCTCTCTTCAACATCCTTTTGAGCACTCTCCCAAATAGCGCCCTCTTGCTTCTTCTGTGGCCTTGCATACACTCGCGAGACCACCGGCAACCTTCCCTTGGGATACTCCATCGTTAAACCATGACCGTCTAGATCCGCTGGTGCCGCGCAGAGCCGCCTCAGCCGTTTCAGCCGGAGCAGGGAAATCCAGCCACTAGAAGTCGCCTTCTTGCTGCACGTGCAGGAGAGGACCTCAAGGCTTGTGAGCACCCCCACTTGCTCCAGAACTGAGTCAGTCACCCGACTCACATGCAGTTTTCTTAGGTTCTTCAACGGCCAAGGCCCGGTTTTGAAGGACAGGGTTGAGGGACCAGGGCAGTCGAGGACGAGTTGGTGGAGGCGGGAGAAGGGCTGGATGAGGGAGAGGGCGGCTGGAGTGATGGGGGTTTGAAGGAAGGAGAGGGAGGTGAGGGAGGGGAGGTGGGCGAGGGAGAGCATGTCGCGGGGAGAGACCGAGGAGCATTGGTCGAGCGTGAGGGAGGTGAGGGAGGGGAGGAGTGTGGGACGGCAGGCAGGAGCGAGTGCGAGAAAGTAGTGGATGGTTCGGTGGGACAGGGTGATTTCTCGTGATTCAGCCGTGATGTGGAGTGCTGGTGGGTTGAGCTGCTGCATTTCAGGGGTGGGCCGTTGCACTGCAGGGGTGATCTGCTGTGTCGTGGTAGGCAGAGCAGAGAGAAAGCAGACCGTTGTGTTGATCAGAAGTTTCGGAATCTGCTGCTTAGCGGGAGGGATTTGCCGCAGCAAGGCATTGATTTCCTCCTGCAGCCGCGCCTTGAATGCCTCTTCACCATTGGTGGGTTTCAACTCCATCAGTGCACTCTGCACCTCTCCACGTGAAGATCCCATGCTTGGTGAAACCTTCTCTTCTTCTGCTGCTGCTGCCGCTGCTGCTGCTGCTGCCGCTGCTTCTGCTGCTGCTGCTCCGCACAGCCCCGCCCTTAGCGCCCATCGCTCCACAGATGCCACCAGGTCGCTCCCCACCGGTCCGTCTGCCTCTCCTGCACCACTCTGCTCCCCGCCTGCCCTCCCCACCATGCCACCCCCTCCCGTCCTCTCCTCCATGCTCCCCTGCATAATCTCTCTAGCTTCGTTCCCTTCCCCATCCCCTTTGTCCTGCCCCTCTCTGTTTTCAGCAACAAGGGGCTGCTTGGGAAGGGTGGGGGAGCAGAGGGGTGGTGCAGGGTAGTGAAGGGAGAAGCAGAAGGGTGGTGCTGAGTTGGAATTGAGAGGAGCAACAAGGTGAATGTAACAAGACATGCTGACATAAATATGCAGGTGTAACAGGTGTGAATATAAGTGTATTGTGTTTAGGTAAATCTGCAGAAAGACTGGAAATTTAGGAAGGAGGAGAAAGGAATGGAAAGGGCGAAAGGGGCGAGAACGAGCGGGAGAGGCAAAGTCAATGCCACCGCTCACCTCAACCAGGTCATAGTTATCCCCAACGCCTTCCTCCATTGCGTCCTCCTCTGCATCGTCGGCGTTATTTTCACAATTCTCTGCCGCTCCTTCCCTCTCTGCTGCACCCTCCCTCTCTGCCGCGTGCCCTTCTCTCCCCTCTCCCCCCAGCTCTGCTCCTACTGCCTCCACCGGCTCCTCCCCTCGCCCTTCTCCCACTGCTTGCTCCATCTCCTGCTCTCCTTCTCCAGTAGAGTCTTCCTTCAAGTTTTCTTCATCCCCCTTCTCTGTTGTCTCGTCTACTGGCTCCTCCCCTCGCCCTTCTCCCAGCACCGCTTCCTCCATCTCCTGCCGTGCTTCTTCAGCAGATTCACGCTTCGAGTTTTCTTCATTCCCCTTCTCTGTTGTCTCATCTACCAGATCAATCGTCTTCTCTTCCTCCTCGTCCCTCATTCCCCCCTCCCCCTCCCCTTTCTCCTCTTCCGCCTCTTTCTCCCCATCCCCCGCCTCCTCCTCCTCTTCCTTCTCGTTCCGATCGTCCTTCTCCTCCTCTCCACTTTGCTCCTCGTTGTTCCCTCCCCGCTCACCCCCGCCCTCCATTCTTTCCCCCTGCGCCTTCTCCCCCCCGATTCCGCGCAGAGATCTCCCCACTCCGCGCACCTTCACTCGGATGGCCTCCGCATGGGCTGACAGCGCGGCCAGATGCTGCTACGGGGAGGGGGAAGCAGGGGGCAGAGGGGAAAGGGAAAGGGGGAAGGGGGAGGGGAAAGGGGAAGGGGAAAGGAGAAAAGGGAGCTTTGGATTTAACGCGTCCCTTCACCCTTTCGAGACTTGCTCTCCAATGGCCTCCGCATGGGCTGACAGCGCGGCCAGATGCTGCTACGGGGAGGGGGAAGCAGGGGGCAAAGGGGAAAGGGGAAGGGGGAAGGGGGAGGGGAAAGGGGAAGGGGAAAGGAGAAAAGGGAGCTTTGGATTTAACGCGTCCCTTCACCCTTTCGAGACTTGCTCTCGAATGGCCTCCGCATGGGCTGACAGCGCGGCCAAATGCTGCTGCTAGGATGGGGAAGCAGGGGACAAAGGGGAAAAGGGCAGAGGGAGGGGAGTGGGGGAGGGGGAAGGAAAGGGGGGAAAGGCGCCGGGGTTTCCGCCCTTTCGAGTCCTCTCGAATGGCCTCCGCATGGGCTGACAGCGCCGCAAGATGCTGCTGCTAGGATGGGGAGAGCAGGGGACAAGGGAGAAAAAGGGGAGGGGAGGGGGGGGAGGTGGGGTTGAGGGGGGAGAGGGAGGAAAAGTTGGGGTATGCGGCGGGTTCAGGTTTACGAGCTGATTTTTTCGAGACCTCTTGAATGGCCTCTGTGTGGGCTGACAGGGCTGAAAGATGCTGCTGGGAGGATGGGGAAGTAGGGGACAAAGGGGAAAGGCGGGGGAGGAGAGGAGGAGAGGGCGCGGGGGAGAAGGGAGGAGTGGGGGGGAGGAGGGAGGGGGGGGGGGAGGAGGGTAACTTCCATGCACCCCCCTTCTTTTGAAACCCGGCCTCCCGCAAGGGCTGACATATTCTGCTACGGGTAATGGAAGTAGGGGACAAGGAAGGGGGAGGAGGGTTTGGGGGGTTTGGGGGGGAGGGAAGGGATGTTGGTGAATTCCATTCATCCCGTTTCAAAAACCTGTGTCGGATGGCCTCCCACGTCGGCTGAGAGGCCGACCACGTGCTTCTACGGGTAGGGGAAGCAGCTAGTACGGGTACGGGCAGGGACGAAGCGGCTAGTACGGGTACGGGCAGGGACGAAGCGGCTAGTACGGGTACGGGCAGGGACGAAGCGGCTAGTACGGGTACGGGCAGGGACGAAGCGGCTAGTACGGGTACGGGCAGGGACGAAGCGGCTAGTACGGGTACGGGCAGGGACGAAGCGGCTAGTACGGGTACGGGCAGGGACGAAGCGGCTAGTACGGGTACGGGCAGGGACGAAGCGGCTAGTACGGGTACGGGCAGGGACGAAGCGGCTAGTACGGGTACGGGCAGGGACGAAGCGGCTAGTACGGGTACGGGCAGGGACGAAGCGGCTAGTACGGGTACGGGCAGGGACGAAGCGGCTAGTACGGGTACGGGCAGGGACGAAGCGGCTAGTACGGGTACGGGCAGGGACGAAGCGGCTAGTACGGGTACGGGCAGGGACGAAGCGGCTAGTACGGGTACGGGCAGGGACGAAGCGGCTAGTACGGGTACGGGCAGGGACGAAGCGGCTAGTACGGGTACGGGCAGGGACGAAGCGGCTAGTACGGGTACGGGCAGGGACGAAGCGGCTAGTACGGGTACGGGCAGGGACGAAGCGGCTAGTACGGGTACGGGCAGGGACGAAGCGGCTAGTACGGGTACGGGCAGGGACGAAGCGGCTAGTACGGGTACGGGCAGGGACGAAGCGGCTAGTACGGGTACGGGCAGGGACGAAGCGGCTAGTACGGGTACGGGCAGGGACGAAGCGGCTAGTACGGGTACGGGCAGGGACGAAGCGGCTAGTACGGGTACGGGCAGGGACGAAGCGGCTAGTACGGGTACGGGCAGGGACGAAGCGGCTAGTACGGGTACGGGCAGGGACGAAGCGGCTAGTACGGGTACGGGCAGGGACGAAGCGGCTAGTACGGGTACGGGCAGGGACGAAGCGGCTAGTACGGGTACGGGCAGGGACGAAGCGGCTAGTACGGGTACGGGCAGGGACGAAGCGGCTAGTACGGGTACGGGCAGGGACGAAGCGGCTAGTACGGGTACGGGCAGGGACGAAGCGGCTAGTACGGGTACGGGCAGGGACGAAGCGGCTAGTACGGGTACGGGCAGGGACGAAGCGGCTAGTACGGGTACGGGCAGGGACGAAGCGGCTAGTACGGGTACGGGCAGGGACGAAGCGGCTAGTACGGGTACGGGCAGGGACGAAGCGGCTAGTACTCGTCATGAAACGCATAATGTGTCCATCTGCCCAGAGAAAACCTCGTCTCGCATGGCCTCACACGCCTCGTCTCGCATGGCCTCACACGCCTCGTCTCGCATGACCTCACACGCCTCGTCTAGCATGGCCTCACACGCCTCGTCTCGCATGGCCTCACACGCCTCGTCTCGCATGGCCTCACACACCTCTCAGCCTGCATGAGCTGCTGACAGGGCGACCGGATGCTGCCGCCGGAAGGCAAACAGGACGAAAGCAAGGAAAAGCATCCTTCGTTTCCTCGTCGCGGCTTCCGCTGGATGCATGTACTACTGCTTCGGAGGCGTTGGGTTGGAGGCAAGGTCGTACCTCCCGTGCCACTCGCAGCACGTTGTCCCACTTGCGCGGCCCTGCCTTAGTACCCAGAGATGACGGCTCCGCGCCGCTCGCAGCACGTTGTCCCACATGACGTATGGTGGGAAGCAGCAGTGGACGTGCACGTTCCAAATACGTTATGGTTCGACACGCGGTACAGGGGAGTTTTGTGCGACGCATGCGAGACGGCGTGCACGACACACTGGAGGCGGGAGGCGTGCACGACACACTGGAGGCGGGAGGCGTGCACGACGCACTGGAGGCGGGAGGTGTGTGTGACATTTGAGAGATATGCGACTCGCACTCACCATCACCATCGGGTCTGAGGAAGACCCGTCCGCCATACGAGCTCGCTTGCGCGGCCCTGCCTTAGTACCCAGAGATGACGTCTCCGCGCCGCTCGCCCATTCCGTCCGAATCGCGTCCGCCAGCGCGGAAATCGCCTCCACCTTCCTCTCAATCCACTCCTCCAATTCCGCCATCGCTTTCCCAACTTCGCTCGTTTCATCATCGCGGCTCCTCGCCCCCGTTACTATCACAGTTGTTGCGTTCACGTTCTCCAGTAAGTTCGCCTCCTCACCCTCATCCATGTTCTCGTCCTGCCCGTTCCGCCCGTGCGTGACATCCGTCGCATTTATCGCATTTGTCGCATTTATCGCAGTAATCCTAACGCTCGCGTTCCGCGCATTCGTTCCATCTCTCGCAGGAGCCGTCGATCTGCGCCGGCCGGTCACCGGGCGGCGACCAGCGAGTCGCGATATCATAACGACAACACAGCGCGGCTGAGTCACTGTGGACAGAAGACGAGAGAAAAACGGCAGAAATTCGCTAGCTATGCAGGCTGTGTAGAGAGGTCTCGAACAGGCAGTCTTTCTAAGCAATGAAAAACATAAGCTGCACGAAGATTAGCACTACATGACCACGATGGTGCATACGAAAATGGAGTGCACGGCAGGTGTTTGCACGCAGAAACGGCAAGGCAATCGAGCTGCTGCGGGTGCCTCTCTGGCTCCGTGCCGCGGGAGGGAGGTTGTGTCCATTTCGTTAGGGCGTGTTGAGTTTTCCTGTGCGGGCTGAAACTGGGTAGTGAGAGCTGGTAACCGAAGCTTAAAAAGAGGCAAAATGATTACCAATTCTTGTGTTTTCGCTTTCTTCCCGTCGTGCGGCAATCTGTGCAAAGTGCCAGTAATTAAGTGCCTTGGCTTGATGAGGCTCGATTCGAGAGAACCGATGACTCCCATGTGTCGCAGACGTCGCAGGAAAACATCCTAAACGCATCCTCAATACCGTTGTGGCGCGATATGTGTGCTGTCAGTGAAATTTCAAATTTGAAATTTTCGATTCAGGCCCGCTTCAATCAAATCTCTTTCACTTCATATTGGCTTGTGACTTCTGTGAGTATTTATAATTTCTCAACTTCCTTCACCATTGTCAAAGTTGACACCACTCTGCGCCATCATCTTGTACGGCTTCCACCCCCCCCGAACTTCTCTTCTCTCCACTTTCGAAGCTTTCATTCATAAGTTCCTATGTTACGGGTGCAATTGAGCGAGCGAGCGACAATTGCATTATTAAAGCACAACAGTACATTGAGCGAAGGCATGAGCGAAGAATATATAGCGAAGCTACAGTGGTAATGATAATGTGTGAAAATGGGGTGCGCTACGGGCCTAGCGCCGAGGTTGGGAATTGTCGAGGCGGAGGTCCAGAGCACCAACCGAACCGTGAGGTTGGGTCGCGTCGTGAACAGTGGCGGGAACAGTGGCGGGAACAGTAGCTGGAACAGTGGCGGGAACAGTAGTCGAGGCGAGTGTCGTGAGTGGTAACAGTGTATTGTTGGGATTCGTTGGCGGGAACAGTACGGTAGTGTACGCGCTGAACAAGGGTGCGAAGTAAGGAAAGAAATTTTCCTTACACTAACCCCACCCCACCTAAGGAGATCCTCCTTACAAGAGTGCGTGTACATCCCGAAAATTTCGGCTGTGCAGGTACTCGGTAAGGACAGGGTGGTTTCGATTCTATCCAGTGGAACCCTGTTGTCTTCGGTGGGAGTGCAGTCTTTCTACCGAATCAGGAATTCAATCCCGCGAGCTCTCAGTGGGTCACGAATTCGATGGCTCAAGTTTTTCTCGGGCATGATGATTGGCTCAGTGTGCGGTCGTGTCATGCTGGCTGGGCGGTTGCGGGGTAGCTAGCTGGTGGATGGTACGTATGGGTGAAGCAGGCTGACGTGGAATGACGGGTTGACGTACCAGTTAGCAGGGAGGAGGTGGGCGGTAACGGGAGTGATCATGTGGCTGATGTGAAATG